ATAAATGCCAAAGGAGCACTGGACCCAGCTCCCTACGTAAGCGACAGGGCCTTGCCTGGTGCTGGGAGAGGACAGACTGCACCATTCCACACGTTTCCTGCTGGGCCTCCCTCCTCTAGCACCCTCCCCAAGTCACACCTCCACCCGGCACTGCAGGGAAGCTCCCAAAACACGCCTCTTTTTCTCAGCTTGAACTCCCTCTCTGAGGCTCTCCATGGCTCTCAGATGAGGCTCAGCTTGTGAAACTGGCATCCAAGGCTTGCCCTGGGCTGCCCACCTGCCTGCCCCCATGCCTCTGGACCGACTTCTCACTCTCACTCACACACCCAGGGTCCTCAAGAGCTCAGCATCACTCCTGAAACCCACTCAGACCTGCTGTTCCTCCCACCTGGAATATACACTTCCCCCACCTTCTACATCAGGATCAGCTAAGGAGTCATGCCCTCAGGAAGAGGTAGCCACACTGCATTGGATCTCCTTCTTGTTACATTCCAAGTCTTCTGGATGGTTCCAGTCCATTCAATTCTGTTCTCACTGGACCGAGAGGATCGCTGGTGGGACATACAGGCAGGCATCCAGCAGGGTTTGGTGTTTGTGGAATGAATGAATGCCAGAGCTGGCCACAGGCTCTGTCACCACCCTGGACCCGTTTTACCCACTGCCACTGCAGGCTCCAGAATTTCTAGACAGGACAGTGAGAGCAAATGGTTGGGAATAGAGACAAGGGGGTCTCATTTTGAAGGTGCTGCCTTCGCAAAGCAAACTCAGCTTTTTTTTTGGCCATGCCCATGGCATGTAGGATCTCTGTTCCCCAACCAGGAATCGAATCTGCACTCCCTGCAGTGGAAGCACCAAGTCTTAACCACTGGACCTCCAGGTATATCTTGCCAACTCAGCTTTTATACTCAGTGTTTGCTTGCAGTGATTGAGGGAATCTAATAAAAATGAGGGTGTAAAACTGCTTCCTCAAGCCACTCCTTAACGTCACGGCAACTCAGGTAAGCCACGGGCGGTACACTGAATGTGGACCCAAGTTGGCTGGGTTGAAACTGGGGCTCTGATGGTCCCAGGCCCAGTCTCTGTCTCCAGCCAGGAGACAAGTCACCTCCAGCCTGCCCCTTACTTCTGTCATGGGGGAAAAGATGTCCCATTCTACTTACAGCATCCTGAGTGTTATAAGCCAAAGCCCTTAAGAGATCAATTGTGAAAACAGCAATACCTCAAAGAGTTTATTGTTTAATTTGTGCCAAAACAGAGCATTAATCCAGAAAGAAAAAGAAAACCTCTTATTCATCAGCGCCAATATTTTTTTTCCCCATGGGCCATTTCAATGCTCTAAAAGTAAAGATGTAAATTTCAAAGGGCCTTCATATGAAATCAGCTGCTGCTGCTGCTGCTAAGTCGCTTCAGTCGTGTCTGACTCTGTGCGACCCCATAGACAGCAGCCCATCAGCTAGCTCCCTGCTAAAACTCCTTTGTTCTCACCTGGCTCTGGACAAAGAAAGGGGTCACTGACAGGCTGCAGGATCAGAGCCAGATTGGGCACCTCTGACGGGGAAACAGAGGCACTGGGGGTAGCCACGGCTGGCGCCAGACCTCCTGTTCCCCCAGGCAGCACAGAGGAGGCAGCTCTGAGCTCTACCTGCTCCACCTGAACTTCACCTTGCCCAGATCAGAAAGGGTCCAAGTTGGAATCTACCAGAGGACTCATCAGCTCCCTCCCTACCTTAACCCTCAGGGTCAATTTCTCAATCCCTGTGGTTAGTAATCACCCTCACATGTTGGGAGGGGGCGGGCTAGGGGAGTGTAGGGCGAACGGGGGTGGAGAGGAGATGAGAAAGCCTCAGTCAAGAGATCAGGGGGTCCTGCGGGCCTGGGGGCTCAAATTCTAGGGTAGGTCCAGGTTTGGTGACTCCCCGAAGCTTACATGCTTTGGGGGCCCACTTTCAAATAAATAATAGAAAGAACAAAGATCTTTCTTTTACAGATTTTTACAAAATCAGGAGCCCACGCGCTCTCAACGCTAGGTCCCCTCCAGGGCTGCGAGAAGGGTCTGGGGGGCACAGGAAATCCTGGACAGGGTGACCAGCCGTCTTGTCTGTCTGGGACAGGGCTGCTCCCAGGATATGGGACTTCCCATGTAGAAGCCAGGAAAGTTCTGGCAAACAAGGGCAAATCGGTGATGGATGCTCAGATTCCATTAGCTCGAAGGTGAAGTTTAAGACCTGCCAGACTCTGTGGGGAGCAGAAGGAACAGGAGGGCAAAGGGCAGGTCGGCACGTGTGTCCACGACATGACCCCAACATGTTAAAATGTCTCAGGACATCATGTGTTTTTGAGAAAGACTGGAAGGAGACAGAGGCCTTTCCTGTGAGATGGGATCACATGGGCTTTTTCTTCCTTTTTTTGTGGTAAGATACATACAATATTGGAGTAGAAAATGGCAACTCCAGTAACCTTGCCTGGAAAACCCTACGGACAGAGAAGCATGGTGGGCTGCAGTCCATGGGGTCACGAAGAGTCGGACACGACTGAGCACACACACACATAACATAAAATTAACCACCTTAACCATTTTTAAGTGTACAGATCAGTGGTGCTAAGTACATATATATCATTGTACAATCATCACAAGTGACTTGTGTTCTCCGTTTATCAGCAGGTATTACTTCTAAATGATCAGGGATAAAACCTATATACATTTTTTTAAACTGTCAACCAGCCTGTATCAGACGCCTCTGCTCACACAAAGGTAGGGAGCAGGGCTGGGAGGTTGTGGGGGCCTTTGGGGTATTGGATGGGGGGGTGGACCCAGATGACCCTTATTCTGTCCCAATCTGAGATCCCAGGATTCCAAACACTTCCTGATCCAGGGGAAGCACTGTGCTTTGGAAACAGGAAGATTTGGGTTCAAATCCTCTCCATTTGCCACTGGGCCTCTCTGAACCTCGGATGCCTCAAGTGCGTTTCCAGGGGAAATAGGTGGGCAATCGTAAATGCAGTTGTGCACACAGTAGGTGCTCAGTGACTTTTTCTCTTCTGCTTGGAAGGTCCTCCCTGCGCTTGAATGTGCACGCCTGTCAACCCTCCTCATCCTTCCAGGCCCAATTTGACATCACCTTCTCCAGGAAGCTTCTCTGATTCCTCTCTGAGCTCTCCCAACCTCTCTGCCTGGGGGTGCCTGGCTCACTCCCCGGCAGGACCGGAGGCTCCCTGGCACTAAAGGGCTGTGTCTGAGTCATGCCGCCTTCCCTCCGGGCCTAGCCGACTCAATAAAGCTTCGCTAAATGAAGCCATCACCAGCAGAAGTGACCCAGGCAGACAAAACGCCCACACCGCCTCACAAAGCCGGTGACTTCACCCGCCCAGGCCAGCGGCCCAGAGCCCAGGTGAGGGAAGCAGAGCACAGAGCCAGCCCACCTGATCAGGCAGGTGTCCCCCAGAGCTGCACTGTTGCGAGGGTTTGCCAGGGCCTCTGGGGAGCTGGAGATGACACGGATGAGTGAACTCGGCACCACAAAGCCTCCAAGATGTACCCCTGGGGTGCCTGGCCGTGTGCCAGCACCGGGCTTCCCTGCCTTCAGAGAGCTCCCCATCTGGGGGGCACTTGAGAAGCCTGGAGTGTAAATGTGGCCACGACGCTTCCGGTGGCACCAGAAGGAGGGCTGAACGTTTTTAGACAAAGCAAAGGTAAATAGCTCCCTTTTCCTCTGGGAGGCCAGATATAAATACCCAAGCAGTCCCACCCATCGCACGCTAATACGGCCCTGAAAATCCAGGAAGTGAGGGAGCTTGAGCATGCCTTGGCCACAGCTGGCTTTAGGTGTAGCCCCCTGGGGTGGCTTGGCAGGGCCCCTGCCCAGGGTCCCCAATCCGGGCACTTCTAACCTAGGCCCACAGGCAGGGGCCCCAGGCCTGCAGAGGCAAGACCCTCCAGTGAGTGGGCCTGGGCAACCCGAGGGAGCCCCAGATAGCCCTCTCCAGAGAGGGGCGGACCTCCTTTCCCTGGGGGGACCCCCAGGCCACATGAACCCTTCCCTGTGTACCGGCTCTGTCGCATCCTCTCCTCGACCCCAGGTTTGAACAGGGACCCCCCCCACTCAGCTCTCTGCACTGGGGTGTTCGGCCCTCACCAGGCTGGAGGTCCAGATGGGGCCTCTCTGCCCTTCTCTGTGGGCAGGGGTCCTCCCAGCCCGCTCCTCCTCGGGCATCCAGTTGTATTCAGAAAATACCCCAGCCCAGGGAGGTCTCAAGGAGGCTCCTCCCATTTCGCCACAAATAGGGAAACTGAGGCAAGCCAGAGGAGGTGACGCTGTCCACCTCGGAATTTAACTACTCGTTTCCCATGAACATTTCTCGGGTGGCTTCCAGCCCAAGGTCACGCTGCGGAAAGGCAGTTCGCGATGGAAGCCAGGAATCCAGCTCCCGCCGCGTCGCTCCACACTGTCCAGGTGAAGCCACAAAAACCCGGTTTCCTGCCCTCTCCTTGAACGTCCATGGCAAGCGCGCGTGCACCCCCGCGAGACGATCCACGCCCTGATTCACCCCCCTACTCTCAAAAACAAGGCTACCTGGTGATTCACAGACACACACCCCCCCTCAAAAAAAAAGCCACCTGAAACCAGGGTTTGGTCCCCACGGTCGCCAGTCCGCCCAAGCGGCCGCACGCAGCCCAAGCCGTGAGGTACCTGGTCGCGGCCTGGAGGTCACCGCGATGGGGGGGGGTGGAGGGGGGAGAGTAAGAAGTGGGGTCACCGGGAAGCCAGGGGTGGGGGAGCAGGAAGCCTCAGCGAGCACTGGGCACCCCCGTCCAGGGGGCTCGGGAAGGAAGGGGGGGCGAGCGCCAGGACCCCTACCGGACGTCCCACTACCAGCGGCCGCGCCCGGGTCCCCCGCGGCCCGCGGGGGAGTTGGCGCCCGTCCGGGCGCTCGGCCCTTGCCCGCACCCCCCACCCCGGCCCCCCACCCCGAGTCCGGCCGGGCCACCCGGCCGTCCTTACCCAGGACACGACGCGCAGGATGGTGTGAGGCTGCCGGACCAGGGTGTAGGGGTCGAAGGCGCCCCCGGCTTTGCCAGCTCCATACGCACCCCCTTCCATCGTGGCTGCACCCGCGCGGTGCCCCCCGTTCGGCGCGCGCCGCCGGCCCGTGCGCGTGCGCGGCGCCCCCGCCCCCTCCCCTGCTCGCGCCACCGGTGTGGCCGAGGGCTCCCGCGAGGGGGCGCTGTGCGCGGAGGGCGCCGGGCGGGCGCGGGGGTGGGCCGCGCGCTCCCTCGATCTCGGGGGCGCGGGTGCTGCGGTCCTGTCGGAGGGTGCGCTCGTCGCCGGCGTGGCGACCTTTTTGCTAAGTAGAGGGGGCGGGGGGACGAGGAGGGGCTGTGTGTGTGCAGCAAATGCAGGACTTGTCCCCGCCCCCGAGGACCGGGCCGCCCTGCGTCCATCACTGCCCTCTGAGCCTACGCGGCTCTGGGATGAAACCTCCTTCGTTACTTGTTTGCTGGTTTCCTGGGGATCTGTCTTGCCCCCAGTATAATGAGCTAGGAGGGACCGCCTTTGTCCTCCTTATGGGGTGCTTGGGACACAGGAGGTGTCGCAGGAGGACTTTTCGAATGAATGAATCGCGAATGAATAACCCCTTTCTCGAGAGCCTTCTGAAGCACAGCCCCCCACCCCCCCACCTCCCAGCCTTCCACCTTGCTTTTACGCTCACTGCTCACGTCCTGTGTGTCCTCCACTCCCAGCCTGGAGGGGTCAGCGATACTTGGCTGAGAAGCAAAGGCGGAAGAAGGGCAATAAATTCTTTTGGAGAGGCCCCACCTACCCCCCACCCCACCAGCAGGCTTCCCAGGTAGCTCAGTGGTAAAGTACCTGCCTGGCAATTCAGGAGATGAAGGTTCAATCCCTGGGCCAGGAAGATCCACTAGAGGAGGAAAGGCAACTCGTTTCAGTATTCTTTCCTGGAAAATTCCATGGATGGAGGAGCCTGGCGGTCTACAGCCCATGGGGTTGCAAAGTGTTGGACAGAACTGGGCACGCAGGAACTCCACCCCACCGTCATACTATGCACCCAGTAATTATTATTATTTGTTCATTGTCTTCCTCTGCTAGTCTGTGGATTTTGTCTACTTTGTTCACTGTTATAACCCAGGTCCTGGCACAGAGTTCAGTTCAGTCACTCAGTCCTGTCTGACTCTTTGTGACCCCATGGACTGCAGCACACCAGGCCTCCGTGTCCATCACCAACTCCCGGAGCCTGCTCAAACTCTTGTCCATCGCATCGGTGATGCCATCCAACCATCTTATCCTCTAACATCCTCTTCTCATGCTGCCTTCAATCTTTCCCAGCATCAGGGTCTTTGCCAAGGAGTCAATTCTTCGCATCAGGTGGCAAAGTATTGGAGTTTCAGCTTCAGCATCAGTTCTTCCAATGAATATTCAGGATTAATTTCCTTTAGGATTGACTGATTTGATCTCCTTGTAGTCCACGGGACTCTCAAGAGCCTTCCCCAACACCACAGTTCAAATGCATCAATTCTTCAGCACTCAGCTTTCTTTATAGTCCAATTCTCACATCTATACATGACTACTGGGAAAACCATAGCTTTGATTAGACAGACCGTTGTTGGCAATGTAATGTCTCTGCTTTTTAATATGCTGTCTAGGTTGGTCACTGCTTTTCTTCCAAGGAGCAAGCATCTTTTAATTTCACAGCTGCAGTCACCATCTGCAATGATTTTGAACCCCAAGAAAATAAGGTCTGTCACTGTTTCCATTGTTTCCCCATCTACTTGCCATGAAGTGATGAAGCTGGATGCCATGATCTTAGTTTTCTGAATGTTGAATTTTAAGCCAACTTTTTCACTCTCCTCTTTCACTTTCATCAAGAGACTCTTTAGTTCTTCTTCACTTTCTGCCATAAGGGTGGTGTCATCTGCATATCTGAGGTTATTGATATTTCTCCTGGCAATCTTGATTTCAGGCTTCATCCAGCCTGGCATTCACATGATGTACTCTGCATATAAGTTAAATAAGCAGGGTGACAATATAGAGCCTTGATGTACTCCTTTCCTGATTTGGAACAAGTCTGTTGTGCCATGTCCAGTTCTAACTGTTGCTTCTTGACCTACATACAGATTTCTTAGGAGGCAGGTAAGGTGGTCTGGTATTCCCATCTCTTTCAACATTTTCCACAGTTTGTTGTGACAGTGAAAGTGAAAGTGAAGTCGCTCAGTCGTGTCCGTCTCTTTGCTACCCCATGGACTATAGCCTACAGCACTCCTCTGTCCATGGGATTTTCCAGGCAAGAGTACTGGAGGGGGTTGCCATTTCCTTCTCCAGAGGATCTTGCCAACCCAGGGATCGAACCTGGGTCTCCCGCATTGTAGGCAGATGCTTTACCATCTGAGCCACCAGGGAAGTTCAGTACTGTTGTGACAGTATGTGCTCAATAAACAAACCCTAGTCCCCATCACCCCATCACTGCTTGTCCTAGAGCTCCAGGTATCATGGAAACAGAGGCTGGATGAAAGACTGTTCACTGCAGTGAGAATGATGATCTTCCAAGTCTGGCTCTTAGGATGACTCGTGGTCCCAAGGGCCTCCATGTCCCCACTGGTTCCAGGAGGTGGTTGGATAAGGGTGTCTATCTGCAGAGGCCTTTGTTGTCGCAGTGATGACAGAATATCTTGAATTTTGTGATGACAGGACACCAGATCTGTGCAGAGGAAATGTGGTGGGTGTGAGGGCACCTCTTATAAACATTTCATACACAAATATCCATCTTAGACTCTGTTTATTGAGTCTTATGTTAACTCTGCAGCAGGCCCTGGGCTAAGGGCTTTGCATATGTTATCTCATTTAACACAGCAATCGTATTCTATGGTTATATGAAACTTCTAAGAGAAAACAGAAATTTTTTTGTGACTTTGGGTTAGCCAAAGAGTTCTTAGATGTATTACCTAATGCATAATCCATAAAAGAAAACAATCAATGGGTTAGATTTCGTCAAAATTAAGAACACTCATCAAAAGACCTTGTTCAAAGAATGAATGAAAAGGCAAACCACAGTCTGGGAGAAAATATTTGCAAAGCATATTTATGACAAAGCTTTTGTGTCCTAAATATATAAAGGACTCTAAAAAGTCAATCGTAAGAAAACAATCCTTTAAAAAAAAATGGGCAAAGGATTTTAACAGACACACTTCACCAAAAAAGATATACAGATGGCAAATAAGCACAGGAAAAGATGTTCAATATCATTAGTCATTAGGGAAATGCAGATTAAAACCAGAATAAGATACTGTACTTTCACACACCTATTAAAACACCTAACATTTTTTAAATTTGACAATTTTGAGTGCTAATGAGGATTTAGAACAACTGGAACGTTTCTACATTTCTGGTGAAAATAGAAAATAGTGCAGCCACTTAGGGAAACAATCTAGCAGCTTCTTATGTAAGTAACTACACATATGCCATATGACCTTGCAATTCCTCTCCTAGATATTGATCCTAGAGGAATGAGAAGCTATGTTCACACAAAACCCTGTACAGGAATGTTTATGGTAGTTTCATTGGGAATAACAGAAACCCAGAAACGACCCGAATGCTCCTCAACTGTAGATTGTATAAACAAATTGTGGAACAGTCATACAATGGAATATTACTCAGGAATAAACGGAATGAACAATTGATACACTCAACCACAAGAGACTACAGGCTGTGTGACTTCCTTCATGTGACATTCTTGGGAAAGCAAAACTATAGGAACGAAAAACAGACCAGTGGTTGACAGGGGCTGGGAGTGAGGTTGGGTGTGTGTGTGGGTGTGTGTGGGTGGGTGTGTGTGTGTGTAGGGTTTACTACTAAGAAGCACAGGGAAATTTGGGAGGATGATGGAATCATTCTATATCTTGTCTGGGGTGATAGTTATGCAATTGACCACATATGTTTGTCAAATTTTGCAAAAATGTCCATAAAAAGGGTGATTTTCCATGTGTTTAAGTTATTCTTATATTTTTTTATGGGGAGAAAAGTGAGCAAGGTTGATGGTCTGAATCCGTGAATAATATTCAGATCAGTGAGCCATGCTCATTTATTTATTTATTCAGTAAATGTTTATTTGAAGCCCACCTTGCACCAGGCTTTGTGCTAGGCATAGGGCCATAAGTGTGAAGAGTTTAGAGACTGTCCCGAGCCCTTCCAGCAGTAAGGTTTGATTACACTAATGAAAAAAATCTCAGAAAGGGTAGTATTTAGGAACCTGAGCTTCAGACTGAGCCAGGTGGGCATCCTGGCTCCCCCGACCCTCTACTCACTGTGTGACCTTGGACAAATGGCTTCAACTCTCTGTGCCTGTTTCCTCATCTGAAAACTGGAAGTAAGCCTAGTGCCTATCCCTGAGGATTACTGCCAGGATTAAATGAGAGAATGCACAAAATGTGCTTAGAATAGTGCCTGACACCAAGGCTTTTAGCCTCCCCAGCCCCGTTGGTCTTCAAGGTAGGTGTGTACGGCAGGGTAGGTACGTATTTTCTTAAACAAAGCCCTAAATGGGGGTAGCTTCCTGACTTACCCAGGAACCTCTACTTTTTACCTATCGTCGCAGGTCATAGAAACAGCTTCCTCTTCTACTGTCTGTATTTATGTGTTCTGCATTAGCAGCAAAGTCAAAGGAGGAAGTCAGGTTGTCCTTTGTAGGTCAAGCTTTTGCAAACCCAGAGCTGCCTTGTTCTGTCTGGACATTCGAGTTCCCAGCCCAGACCAAGCTGTAACCTGCCTTTGCTCCTTCTCTCCTGCCCCCTGGAGGCTATTTTAGTTTTGTAGGTGTTAGGTCTGTTTTCTCTGAGTGTGGAGTTGCCTGGGCAAAAAATGCATTCATTGTATTTGAGTGGATGAACCAAAGCCTAATGATAATGTTAAAAATTCGCCAAAGGTACCTTTCTGGAGAGCTGTTTGGCAGTGTCTTTCAACTGAATAAAAAAAAATGTGCCTTTTATTTACAAAACAAACTCACAGACTTAGAGAAGGAACCTATGGTTGAGGTTGCAGGGTGAGAGGGGTCTGGAGAATGGAGGGAAGAGATAGGGAGTTTGGGATGG